AGGACAGAAGGCTATTGTTAAGTTCTGTAAATTAGCAGAAATATTTCTGCCCAGCTAATAACCATTTAACAGCCTCTGCCTTCGTCATAAGCATAAACATCTGTTCACTCAACCGCGACCCGAAGCTTGTACCCTTCAGAAAGTATTTACTGGTTGCACCTGATTGAAGTTGCTCATTACCCAGCCCTTCCCCCCTGCCTGACACTTTTATTCAGCCACTTTATCTTCATCATTTTACAGGTGTGGGACATGGAGGGGAAAACAACCCTGATCCACAAGGTACTTCAGAACATCCTCGTTCAGCCTGGACGCACCGTGCACAGGTAAGAGCTTGACCTCGCAGTCCTCCCTCCCCTCTGGAGTTCAGCATCAAGGGCCCAGGGTCAGAGATGTGTTTTCTGCCAGTTTTCAAGGGCCTCAACACCCCTAAGATGCAGCTTCAGCAGTAGACGTGCACGTCAGGAAGTGTTTGATCTTGGGCAAAGCAAGCTTTAGTTACCAAGCTTAATTAACTCCAGCGGCTAGCATTTCCTGAGCCGCACACCCCCTTGTGCCCTGCTACTGCTTAATTTCTTGCAGGTGACTACCACTGGAGTATCGGCTGCCATAAATATTCGCCATGGAAAGGAGAGTTATAAGGCAAATTGGTCAGTCACAGATATGTGTGTAATAAGTGGGTACTCCACTGTACTTAGCTGTTGCTTATTACTGGAGGAAATGAAAGTGAACAGCCTTTTAATTCTCCAGCTGGCCTTAAAGTGATGTGGTTCTACTCAGGGCAGGCTTAAGTTAACCCACTGATATCCGGAATTCGCCACTAGCAAGGCTCTGTAGAATACTGAGGAGAAAGCAGCACTTGCAAGGAAATGAACTCAGGTCGGTGGAAAGGCATCGGCCTGGACAGGAATGAAATTGAGTTATCCGAAGTCTCCTATATAATTCCAGCTGACGCATAGGTCTGCATATTTCCTTTGAAAATGTTCAAGAAAGCAATCCTAGAGTACCATTATTCACTAATAGTACAATACTTTCATAACTTTTCTTTCCAATAAAGAAACTGTTGCCAATTTCAGGAAAGCAAAAGTACAGAGAGATGTAAATAACGTGAAAAACGCTTATTCATCTTCTGTTGTCTACCACCATCTATTTCCTTTGATGAGTTTTGGTAAGTTTGCATTGCAGCAGAGGTCTGGGAAAATTCTCCTGACTCTGGCATATGTTTTATTCTGTCACACTTTCTCATTTTGACTCCAGTAAGATTTCCTTAACTATGAAATTGCTCTCTAAGGACAAGAAAGAGTAAGATGATCTCAGATTATAAGATATCACCCTCCTCATCTATCCTTTGTCACTTTTAAGTTAGCAGATCACTCACTAAAACTCCTTAGAAGATAAAAAAGGCAGTAAAATCTGGTTTGGCATATTAATACCCTAGACTCATTAAATTAATAGAGCCTGATTTTCTACGAGATGCATGCACAAATGCCAGTTGAGTTTGTAGGGGCTTCAGGGTGTGTATGTCTTTGAAAACCCTGATCAGCATATTGGACGTGCTTTATTAGAAATCTTCTGAAGATGTTACAGGATCCAGAGTAACTACTAGCTGTGGGTTTACCTACCTCTCTGCCTAGTCTGGTTAGATATGAGTGATGGTGTTAGATCCCGTCTAACCAGCACTTGGACAAGGGTGGCAATGCTGATCAGGGCAGTGGTGCCGGTTATCAGTCCTTCAGCCCATATTGCAGAACCTAGAAGCAGTAGTTTTGTGGAAGGTGCCCACCTGAAGACAATACAACACAGGCTTTAAAGAAACTCACTGGGACTCTCTCGATGAACAGCGGGATCATGAAGCCATATGCCTTGCAGGGCGACCGTTGAGCATTATTTTAATTAAACTGTGGCCTCCTTGGTGCTCAGTTAATTACTGAAAATGAACTGCAGATGTACAGGGACATCCCTTGCTAGCTTATAAAGTGTTAAAATGAACAGAGCTTGGCTACCTGATGTGACTGTCACCACTAGACTGCCACATGAATTTGCAGGTCAATCCTAGCGACTGCTTGTCGTGTCGACAGAAGCTAGATTAATGTGAGGGGTATCATAGACGTTTTCGCTGCTAGTCGAAATCTGCCACTGGAGTTGCAAATCGGGGTAAAATAGAATTACAGATTTTCGCACTTTACAGTTAAACACCATAACACATCTTTTATAAAGATATAAAAATAAAATAAAAATAAAACAGCAAAGACCACAAGATAAAGGCACCATTTAGCTCGGATAAGCTACCTTTGCAGATGTCTCACAATACGAATGAACCAGTTTTCCAGATAAGAGCAAGAATCGCAGATAACAATCTTTATACAGCTGGAGCTTTGAGTTGGCTGAAATGCTTGTTATAGACAGAAATGTTTTGTAACTACCAGCTAAACCTGTTAATAGGATATTACTGAAAGCACCTATAAGCTTATTATGATTCAGTGATTATCCCTCATAATTTTCCATTCAGCATCCTAGTGACAATCAAATGACCTGGAGTTACACTGAACTGTAATTCAGATACAGAAAAATAGATTTTCCACCCCGAAAAAGGAGCAAAAAATATCCCAAAAGCTGCAACATCAGTACAAATTCTGTCCAAATTAACTGACTTTATCTGAATCTGAAACTCACACTGGTTTGTTCTCAGAGGCTTAAGTGCTGAATGAATACCTATCAGCTATTGAATTCACATTTGCTAATGTAGCGTTAAAGGAATTAACCATAAGATTTTCAATTGCAGTAGTCACAATGGTAGTTTTGAGATCTAACTACACTAACATCACTCACATAAGGAGATAATGAGATGAAGGTCTTGGAGGGACGATGAGAAAATGCTTCTCTGTCGCTCTGTGAAGACTTCATTGAGACAATTTCGTCTTGCCCATCCAACAGTAAAAAAGCACTGCCATTAGACAATTGGCTATGTGCTGTCACTCACTGTCACAGTAATAACTTACTTCCACCCAATTCAACAGCGTTTTCAGACAGAGCACAGAATAATGAGCCTGTCTTACCAACTCTTATGGTAAAAATACAAAAATCATATTCTTAATGTACTGAAAGCCATTGTGAAAACTGTGAGGATTATATTATGCAGCACTTGTATGAAACACGACAAAGTTAATGGCACCCTCGACAGCTAGACACCCAAGACAGATAGAATCACAGACAACCGTGACTCTTTGCCTCATGATGCTGACTTTCTGTGCTGAATACCAGCTGACATTTTTCAGAACGAACTGCTCATTTTTTAAGGTCAGACCTTGTACCTCTTGCTCTTTGCCATAGCTTCTCTTTGGCATAAAATCTCAGCTTCCTGCACATTTAACATATTTGTTTCTCTTATACGGTGAAAGTGTTGTTCCAACTCAATACACAGAATGCGCGCTGCACACATTTTTTTTGAGTGCCTAGAATATCAGGTACACTTATCTGCCGGAAGAATATATACAGTACTAACAGGTTCTGTTTCTGCGCTCCTGGGGCTTGCAAGTGTGGAAACCAGTTGTTGAGATTCAGTCAAAATATTAGATGTGAACATCAGAGCAGAACTTTGTATTAGTTTAGCTAAGTCCACACATTCTGTTCACTGTTTGTTGTCTGGTAACCTCTGTGCTTGGCTCTGCTCTTTGGCTTTATGCTATAAATGCAGATGCCATATAAAAATATTCGGTTCAGTCATCCCAATCAGTAACAAAGAGTGTGCGTTGTGTTGGTCTGCGTTGATGTGTTATGTAAGACAATTCTCGGTTCTAATATTTAAACAGCAGAAATTGAGCAACCTGAGATGTAGATACTGTAAGTACGTGCGTGTGTTCTACACATCTGCTCACTTCCAGAAATATGAAGAAATTGGTGAATTGGTTTGATTGTAGTTGTTTTCAGACCTGTTGAAAGCAAAATTTCGGAGTGAAATGCACAGATGTCGGAGGTAGGTTCGGCAACCAGAACCTTTATGGAGATCATTTGTCTTATGGAAAGACAATACAGCCTGTCTCAAGCTTTAGACCCAGTGGCAGGCTTTACAGGCAGACTCAGCTGTGGGCAGGAAGAGAATGGCACTCAGTCGAAGGCCTGTTTTGAAATAGTTTTTATTGTAGTGGTCCCCGTGCATTGGTTACTAGTAGTAGATCACAGGTGGGAGTCTGGCTCCATCAAATAAGCCAGTTCACTAAGGATAGGATTTGCTGCTGTTATTTTTCTATTAGGGGAGAATTATGCTAAGCCTTTAGAAGCCATTTCTGTGTTGCTATGGCAGCCCATATTTCCTGCAGGGTTGTGACCTTCAGTGACTACAGTGCAAAGCCAAGTACCACTGAGATGCTTTGAGGATTAGAACGCAGGCTCATAGATATGCAAAATCCCTCAGATATGATTGAACCATGTAAGGCTGAATGACAAGTTTATTGAGATCGCCGCTCTTTTCATCTTATCATTATTATGTGAATATTCCAAAATCACTCGTCATTCCTTGGATTCTGGTTATTTTATTTATTTATTTTTTAGGCAGCGATTTTGTTTTTTTACATTTCTTTTTCGCGAAGGACAGGAGGCAGTTGTGATTTTTAAACAAAGGCCGATTTTATTTTATGTTGGGTTTTTGTTTTTAAAAAAGTGGAAGTTGAACTACACAGGAGGAGAAAAAAAAAACATCTTTTAAAACACCCGAGGATGTCGACATGTTAGCAATCAATACTCAGTCAAGTAGGCAGCTGCAGCACTAGGTAAAGCTACATATGTTGGGTATGTTTTATAGAAACCACTTTCATTCAACTTGCAAAATACACGGAAAAGTATCGCATTTTACTTTTATCGCGAAACAAATGATTATGAAAGCAGAAGAGTTTTAAAAAACAAAAATTAACGTGCTCGGGGGGGTTCTCGTGTGTCATCACAGAAGAGATCAGAATTGTGAGACACGTCGATGAGGCTGAAAGGGTAAACAAAGTGGTGTTACTTACTTTCGGTGACGGTGTTCCGGTGAACACGGGACTGTCAGAGGAGGGGTCAGAGCTGGTCGCAGTGGCGCGGCGAGGGTGAGTCAGGGCCCCTGCGCCCGGGGAGGAAGGCTGTCCACGCTGCCGGGCCACGACTCGGGGGGGCTTGGCTCGGCTTGGCTTGGCTGCCCGTTAAAAGAAACAGGAGGACAAATGATACTTCACGTCCATGTTCACCAACCAGAGCGCAGAGATTTCACTCTGATCGGTGATGATGATGATAATAATAATAATAATAATAATAATAATAATAATAATAATAATAATAATAAAGGTAAACAAACAAAGCAGTCGCTAGTTATGTTTGATGTTAATCCCGCTGAAGAGTTTTAATTTAAACGAGAGTCTTTGAAGTGCCCTGTGTCTGATCTGGGCAGGACCTGTCCCTTCCAGGTCCTATTGATTCCCATGAAAGGGACAGAGGCTGTCCTTATTAACGGTGGCGGGACCCATCTGTATAATAAAACACAACCTATCGTTTGTTTGCTTCTCTTTCCGATGCGTTATTCAACACGATCATACATGTTTGCAAACACGCGCTGGTCTGCTCATTGTTTATATTTGATACAGAAGTGTTTTGCCCCTCTTTGAACAGCAGATTGCACTGTTTCTGCAAAAGTATCTTCAGGGATTTTTTTTTCTTTTGTATTGAGTGTAGGAGAGAGAGATCGGTTTCCATTGAAACGGATAAAAATGACCATGGAAAAACTGACAAAATTGTTAATACGCAGTTGTGTTTTTTCATTTTACCAGACAATTGTGCTATCTCTGTTTTAATATATTATTGTTTACTCAAGGCTTTATAATTATATTTATATGTGGCTACAAATTGCGTATGACTAATAGGAGGAGTAGAATTTATTCATTAACAGATTGTGTGTTTTTCTGACCAATGAATTAAAAATAAACCCAAACGTCCTTAATCACAAGCTGTTTATAGATGTCGGTTCTATTATCTGTGTATCGCCTCACACAGTCCCCACTCGTTTAAACGAGCATGTAAAACTTTTCTCTTTTTTTAGTGTTATTAATTAGTCTTGTTTCCTTCGTGATTCTTTTTTCGGTAAAATCTTCTATTGCCTTGTTGCACGTCTCAGATACTGATTGTAAAACAGAACTGCAATAGTAATAATACACTTAATACGTTTATTTCGTACCATAGCGCGCACGTAATGGACATAAAAGAAGTTAAAAAAAGATAAACGTATTTCTTTCAGAGTTTTCAGTAAAAAAAAAATGGAAATCCTCAGTAAATACGTGTCCTGAGAGATTTGAAAACCTAATTACCATGAGAGTCCTCATATTGTCTGGTTAAGCAATAAATACTCCACGGAAAGCACAGCGAAGACCTTATTAAGTTGTGCGTGTAGTTTTATGGACTCGGAGTGCGTAGGAGCTGGAGACGGCATTAGATGGGAACTGGAGTACTGGTGCGAGTGAGCGAGCAAGCAGTTTCCCTTTTAATTTATTTTTAAGAAACAAGTATGGACGGCGTACACAATGCCAACAAAGAGATCAGTCTTTGAAAGTCCGAGATTGACACTCGTGTGGATACAAAGCACAACAGGCCTCCACTTTGAAGAAGAAAGTGCTTTGGGTGTCAGATTTCTCGAAACTAGTGCCCAAAGACAAGCTCAAGAGTAAGACCTGTTGAATCGGCATACTTAAGACGAGACAGCGTGGCTGGCTTTAGGGGCCGCCGCTGTAACTGTTCCCAAATGAGGATCGGGAGAGGTCAAAGCGGCAGTGGCGGAGTGAATGAGCCAGGATTAGAAAGAACACTGTTTTCTAACTTGGGTCGGTCGTCCCCTGTTCCTCTCCCAGGAAACACATTAAAAAAAAAAGCTCAAGATGGAAGTTAAGATGGAGGCCGGATTCTTCAAGTGGCCCAGCTTTACTGAGTCACGGACAGCTGGGGGACGAGGGACACTGGGGGGGGTCGCCCGGTTGCAGGGAAACGCATTGCTCCGTGCAAAACGCCCCCGGGCCGTGCTACGCTCTGTTTCTCACCGGCGCGTTTGGCGGAAAAACAAAATCGCAGGCCGCCATCCGTTTCTGTCCCGGTTTGTACCCGTGAAATTAAAACGCCCCATCTGTGCCCGTGATGCCGGGATTTCTCACCTTAGTGGAAATTCCTGGCTAAACACGCGGGGCCCGTCAGCTTCGGCTGCAAGAACCGACTGCGCTATGAGTACTTAGCAGCGTGCGTCGCCTTAAGGACTGAAAGAGCGTTCTAGCACTCTTTAATTTCTAAATTACTGCAAATTAATGAATTCCCACAAGAAACTCTATTGAACGTGTGGCACAAAGCTCAGTTTTCTTTGGTATCGTTAATGATTGTGCCTAATTGATTGTTGGTGGAGCACTGAGAGCTTTTCACTTGGCTCCGAAGCACGCTCACTACGGGGAAATGGCATTTTTGTGTAGTAGTCTATTGTCTTCCTCATTGTGTTTCACGGGCCGTGTTCATGATGAAGGCACCCGGAAGGACGAGAATGACCAGAGCTCCCGCTCGCGTGCGAGCGCCTGTCGCCGTCATGACGTCAGCCCACCTAAGCCTCTCTGCTCGGTGCTTTCAGAACAGAAGTGTTTTCGTTTTTACATCCTGTGGGAATCCGAAGGGTAGCAACACGAAATTCTGGCCAGGAAATGAGACCCATACACCGAGAAAAAACAACCACAGGGAGTGAAATATTGGCCTAATATAACATAGACCACTGCCGCGTTTTTTAGAAATGCAGGTGGAATCGGAATTTAAATCGGAACTGAATCCTTTGACATTCTGAGATTATCCAGCCTAAAGAATGATAATTATTTAATTTAAAACATAATTTCGTCTGTTTTCTTATGTCTGGGAATGCTTCGATTCTTCACCTACTCTTACGTTACGTTGCTTGTATCATGTGCCCTGCACCGTGGGCAGTATGCTGTACAGGGGCAGAAGGTTCACACATTGACGCTAAAATCTCTCACGGACATCACGTGATCCCCCCTGTCTGCTCCGCGGCGCTGTGAACTCATGAACGGGCGGGGAGCTTCTTGTTGTTGTCTTTTCTGTTGGCCTGCATTTCATAAAGATGCGATGCAATGAATGAATTTGGATTACAAGAAGTGTAAAAACAAATCTCAAATACAAAAAGAGTAACCTCCCCGAGTATCGGCTACACCACGCGTGGCCCAAGTGCTTTACTCCAAAATAGGGACGTGCAGAAGGTGTCTTAATTTGATTAATGACTTTCAGGCGAAGCCTCTTTGGACTGCCTAAGGACCAAGGACAGCTCCATTCTCTCCTGCTCGTCTCACCTGCGGTTACACCCCGTTTATCCCGCAGCGGCACGTGCCCACAGAACCCCCGAATTCGGGGGAATTAAGAGGAGGCGGGATTTACACGAGAGACCGAAGAATACAGCCGCCCTTACAGTGACAAATTAATTAACCTGACACGAAGCCACACACCTCCACATCACATCACGGAGTGGCGAAATCTGAAGAGGACGGGACAGTGTTTTCTTAAACAAATACAAGTCGAAACAAGAGATGAGATACATTTCCGTGTTGAAAAAGCAAATATTTAACAACGGTGTAGCGTTTTATACGCCATTCCTTTTTAAATTATTAAAAATAATATATCCTGGTGTATTGCCAATCGTATGTTTTGTTTTAAACTTAGACGAATGGATCCCAGCTTTGTGCATCGTTCATTTTCATAGATTTAAATGTTTGTGCACCTTATTCGTAAGACAAATCCGTAGCGTTTTGATTGAAAACACGATCAGTGAATTTTTTGTCTTCAATTACGTACTTTTCATTAGCGCACTATATACAGACGTGTCACATGAAAATTCAGTTAATGTAAAAGTTTGTTGTAAAAGTCCTTCGATTATTATTATTTTTTGTTCGAGTTTAGTCTAAACTTCTAAAATGATTTATCCCTGTCTACGTTTTATTCTGGCTGACAAGTAAATTTCACTCTTTGGCAGTCTAGCTTGGTGACGTCTATATCACATTATTTGTGAAAAATGTCTTCTGCGAAATAGTGGGTGATGTCACGTGACTAATGGCCTCAGATTATAAAAGCAAAATGTTCTTGTCTTCTAAATCGCTTTATGCACAAGTGGGCAGAAAGAGCACAGGAATCCATATTCCCTGCTATGCTTTCCGTAAGGAAAGAAAAGTGTACATACATCATCGAATAACAATTTCTTAATGATTGTAAGTGTGCCATTATAATTTCACCATTTAAAGTTGTGACATGAAATTGTTACATATCCATATGGATTGATTGATTTGTGCAATGTTTAACACACGTACAATTTATCGTGTAATAAATGTTTAAAATGCCCATTTATATATTGTGATTTGAGGCACAGATGAGGTCATTGTGTGAGACACAAAAAATAAACTTGAATGCCAATAAAGAAGTAAATGTCTTTCCTAAAGCCAAACAGTTATTAATATTGAAAAATACAGATTACATTTGAGAAAGTGCTCAAACATCCAGTTGGGCTTTTACTCATCACTGAAGAGTGCATTTCTTTCCACCACAAATACTGATCTGGTTTTTACGAAATTCTAAAAAACGATGGCGAAATTAAGTTCTTGAGGATTTCCGTGTTCATACCCATCAAAACCCCGTTGTGCGCGTCTGCTCTGTGAGACCTGAAATTCAACATGTCTGCGCGCTACCTGCAGCTCCGTCCGACACCCTGGTGTCGCCCCGGTTACCCGACCGGCGGCATCACTTCCAGCTCTTTCCGATTTCGGGTTCGGCCCTGACGTCACAATCAAAGTCCTGCGAACTCGACTGTGATCGGGCAAAAATTTAATTTCATAATACGTCGCAAAACAGGAATTAATCTTGGGTATCACCCGACGAAGGGCTAAAGAAATTGTGTGGTCGCCGATTTCCGAATGATTTATTCGTTCACTCAGGCATTTGCAACATACAGTGGACGCAGTCAAGACACATTTGATCACGAGGTTTATCAACTATTGCCAATCAAGTTAAAAAAATCGTTTTTTTAACAGTGTGGGGGGGGAGCACTTGTTATGGTCAGTTATTTCCTTGTGTGAAACACGATCGTTTTAGCTTATTATGTCACTAATAA